TCCTGGGAACACGGATGGGCAGCCCTTCATGCCATTGATGGCGTAAGCACCAGATTGGCTGTCGCTCTGGTACTGCAGGCGCTGGTGGCACAGGGCGTCCGGCCGGCGGGCCAGCGCTTCCTCCAGCAGCACACGCAACACCAGCACCTCGCGCAGCGTGCTGGAGAAGTTCCCAGCACGCAGCTGAGCCAGCTCCTCGGTGGTATAGTCATGCACGACGGTGCAGATCCGCTCCAGCAGCCCCTGCTGCCAGGCCTCCTCCGCCGCTGCCAGCTGCGCGGGCGGGGCCCCACCCGCCAGGGCAGCCATCAGCTCCCGGGTGGGTGTGAAGCCTGCCACGCTGGTCTCTGAAGCGTCACCCACCATAACGACGGCCGGGGTCATGCGCTTGATCATGCGGCGCCCATTGTACTGGGGGACTGCCTTCAGGCACCAGCGCAGCGCCTTCTCCAGCTCCGCAGGCGACTCAAACAACTGATCCAGACCCGGCATGTGCTGCCCGCTGATGTGGCACCTCCCCCGATTCGTCTGGCTCATCAGGCACGCTCTCTCCCGCGATCCCTCCCTTTCCTTCGCCTTTCAGAGTCTCTAAGGCTTCTATTTCTCCCCTCCCGCACCCCGCAGCTGCCGCAAATTTAAAATTATGAACCAACCTGTCATCCTTTATGCCTTAGAACGGCGCCAAAACGGCGCCAAGAATGTGTTTCTCACTAAGTCAGATGTAGAGGGCATCATCCGGATCAAGCAGGGCGACCAGCAGGCGCCCTCAGGCCGGCGGCGGCGGGGTGCGGGAGGGGGGGCGGCAGTGCAGGGCGGCACCAAGAACTACAGCAAGAAGGTGCTGCAGTTCTTCCAGGTGCTGAAGGGCGCTGGCGGTCAGGACATCCTGTGCCGCTGCGTCAAGCGCAGCGGAGAGTGGCGGTGGTGCCCCGTGGTGCCGCTCGAGGAGCTGCCCCGAGTGATCAAGGAGCACCACGAGCGGGCGACTGGCTTCAGCGGTGTGGAGAAGCTGTACACACATGTGAGTGATACAAGGGGTGCAATGCTGCCGCCAGACCAACTGGAGAGTGCTCTGCATCAGGCAGCAACCGGATGCATCGCAGCAAGCACGGGGGGTGCGGCACGGCC